AGCAAAATTTCATATTTCAAAACAACATACCGTAAATGGTTAGTTTGCTCGCATAGACTCCGATTGAAAAAATAATGCATCCGTTTTTGGCATTTACTTAATCATATTTGGTTACTTTAACACATTTGTTTAATATCCTACCCTGTTAACATTAAACAAATGTGTTAAAGTAAGTAAATATGATTAGGTAAATGCCAAAATCGGCTGCATTATTTTTTTAGGCCTTTTACGCGCACCTGTGGCCCTGCGCCATCATGGGCGCAGCTCGCTCCGCGTATTTGGCCCTCTGGGGTCCGCGGTGTGCTCCAGGAGCAGCTTCACCACCTCCTGGTGTCCCTCCCTCTCGGCCAGATGAACCGGCAGGTTCCCATGCTGGTCAACGCGGTTGACGTCAGCCCCGTGGTCAATCAGCACGCGGACGGTGTCCACAAAGCCTTCTCGAGCTGCGTCGTGAGTCACGCTGAGATACTGCACCGGGTCGAGCGCGTTGGGGTCAGCTCCTTTGTCCAGGAGCGCCTCAACTAGTGCGCTGTGCCCCAGTTTCACCACCTCGAGGGTATAAATAAATAAATAAAAAAAAATATATAAATACATTAATTGAATGAAATTAATTAATTAAAACAATAATTTGACCACCTCCTCATAAGGACATGTGTTCCTGGGTAAAGAAAGTATTTTCATAAAGCAACACTGTTTAGGGGGGATCTAAATTATTTTTATACCCTCACATTGCCCTTGACCTTTTGGAAATCTAAACTGAGATAAAACAGTCACTTGCATTTTAGAATGAAGAAATTTAGTGGGTTATATGTGTATACACATTTTATAACAAAACACGGACCTCTTTCATTTTCACTAAAAACAGATGTAGGTCTACTTTTCTTATTTATCCTTTAACACATTTGACTAGCTGAGACCACGCCTATATATATATATATATATACACAAATCTTATTAGATATATATATATATATATATATATATAATTTGAAAAAACTTATAGGCAGGCTTGATAAAAGGAACAGACTTAATACTGTACAAAGGGAAAGATAAAACCAAATGAGGAAGTAGGCTATAGCTCTCAGCATCTAGCAGCAGGAGTAACCGAAGGAAAAAAGTATTTACATCTTTAAAAAAAATAGAGCAGAGAAAAAGTAAGGTTTAATACTGACCTGCAAAGCAGTTCTCCCAAATCTGTTTAGACCATTAACATTAGCTCCAGCTTGCAGCAAAAGCAACACTTTCTCTATGTTTCCACTGGCTGAGGCATTGCAGAGGGCATCTGTTAGTGAGTCCATTGTTCATGTAAAAACCTCCAAACACGAATGACTGTAGATTTCAGTGAGATTGGAAGAAGACCTGCAGATAACTCTCCCCCCACTGAAATGACCTAAGCACTTCCTGATTTCTTAAGCTACCTCATGATCAGAGGAAATAACTGAAGCTGGTCAAGATTTAAAGAATAACAAACTAAACAGTGAAATAAATATCACTCTGAAGAATATAGAGCTGAACTGGAAACAGATACATTATACACAACCCACTAAGAGTTAGTTAAAATACATCTTACCCACATGGGCAGATTTGAAAAAATTGTATTACCTTGGTTACAGACAGTTCATCAACATGCTGCAAAGTAAATGCTTTCAATTCAAATGTGCTTTTTCTAAAGTACAAAATAAGTGCATGAAGTCAGCTTTTAAATAAATTTTTTTTACAATCAATGACTCTTCTTCCATTTTGGGACACTTCTTCCATTTTGGGACACTGCTCCAGAGGTTTTCATTTGCTTTTCATTTGCTGAACTGTTGGTTTGGGTTTTTCTGACTGGGATCATCCCAGTCAGAAAAAGGATCCCATCCCAGTGGGATGGGATCCTTTTCAGCATAAATTATACCTTTTTCCCTTAATTATTTTTCTTCTTCTTTTCTATTATGGCGGACCGCAAGCAACTTTAAGGTGCATACTGCCACCTACTGTACAAGAGTGTGTATCAACATTACTTTACATCAAATTCTATTTTTTAATTTTGTATTCTGTAGATAAATGTTTTCCCCAATATTCCTTTAAGACTCCAATCTTAACCTTTCAAGCTGCAAAAATAGAAGTTGGATTCACAAGCCACAAAAAACAGTTTATTAAAAGACATTCACATCCAAAATGATGAAAATGTCTTTGTTTATTTACTTAATATTTATATATTTTTACAAAATAAAAAAAATGGAACAAAAAAAAGCTAACAAGTCTGTGAGGATTTGAGAAAAAAAAAGCCATTGACAAACGAAGACTACAGTACTTGTGTTTTTCTTTATATATGTACAAGACAATTTTATCCATTTAAATCTTTTGTTTTAAAACGCACAGTACAAAAAGAAGAAAACAAAAATAATAAACCACTGACAAAAGAAAAACCAAAGCACAACTCTGTCCATCAGTATTCGATGGTGCAAGTTTCCTTATGGGGTCGGGGGGGGAGGGCGGCGAAGCGGATTGGAGGCTGTGGAGGGTGGGGCCTGGGAAACTATAAAACACTTAAAAAAGAAGCGGAGCAGGTGTGAGTCGTGGAAAAATTATCCAACATTTTTCAAAAAAAGGTGGGACATCACGCAGCGCCTTTTTAACCTCGGGAAATGGAACTGTACAAGCCTTGGATAATGAAAAACTCCTGTGCTAGGCTAAAAAACAAAGCACAGTACACAAGCACGGCCCCCCGTGTGTACAAACATGCACGCAGTCACATGACAAACACACCTTCCTCACAGTCCAAGCCAGTGAGCTCACTTATATGTCTTTATATATAATAATATATCTATATTTGGTAAAAAATAAACTTCACAACTCTACCAAATAAGAGAATTGCTTCTTCAAACTTAAAATGACAAAGAAGAAGAGAAAAGAAAACATTCAACAGCAACTATTTTTTTGGATATTTTGTGATGGAAGATTAAAGAGGCGAGTTGAGGGTGAGAAAGAAAACCAGCCTGCCTCCCCCTCCCAACCACTTTCACGTATTACTTCATTCCTTTCATTCAGCTAAGAAAACAGGTGGGAAATAAAAAGGAAAACAAATACAGGAAATGTTTTTTTTTTTCTTTTAGAAAACAGTTCTATGTTACATGAAAGTTAAAGAAACAAAAAATATGGAGAGCAGGGTGGGGGGGGATTATCACAATACAAAATCCCATCACTCAACATTTCACCTAATTCTATAACCATTTCGAGCTTCAACATTTAGCCCCTCCCCCTCCTTGTTTCTGTAAAGGTGCTCGTTCTCTGTGGCACAGCACCTCTTCTGGTTGCAGTGGGAACTGCAGGGAGCAGCTGGGCCAAGAGACTGAGGAGGGAAATCTCTGCAGGAGGAAGAGGGGGGCTTCACAGCTCGAACCCCTCCTCTCAGCTCAGCGTGGGGGGGAGGAGCTCCTGTCTTTGACGTTAGTTTCCTCCCCAGTTGTAGCTGTTATATGCAGACTTGTTTATCTGAGTCTTCTGTTGAATGGAGGCGTTCTGGCTACGCTGTCCGGTGCTGCTCTGTCAGGACAAATGAAAACAAACCATCTATGAATGTGAGTCATTGTGTTTAGTAAGCTTTAAAGTGATGAGTAGGATATTTCAAACCCTACATTATAACCTGGAAACCAGGTTATGTTCTACACACATTTAGACCGTTACAAACATGTTATTGAAGTTTAGAAAAAAATACAACAGCCATGCTAAACTTAAATTGTTATATTCAACATTGTTTTACATTTTATTAATGTTTGGTAGAAATACCTTTGAAAGTGTACAATTTGGGTAAACATTTTAAGTCTCCGTCCACAAGTTTCTCATAATAGTTTTCTGGCATTTTGGTCCATTCTGCTTAACAAAAGCTGGTAAAACTGAATCAGTTCAAGTCCGCCTGCAGACATTTTCCATTTGTGGTAGACTGACATTCACAAGTTTGAATTGCCTGTAAATTTCCTATCTTTTTTTTTTTTTTTGGTCTTTGCTGGCTTCTTGCTGTCAGAGTGGCCTTTCAGTTCATGTGGGCGCAGGACTGGTCCCACTGTGGATAATATAACTCTTACCAGTTTCAGTCAGATTACCACTTTTTTTTGTCGTATTTGCTTTATTTCTAGGCTTGAAAATCATTTAAAGCCAAAACCTGTTCATCTCCACAACTCAGAACTCACCAAGTTCATAAAGGCAGGCTGGACATTCCAATGTTGTTTATATAATTGTACCCAGTTCCTATTCCTGAATAATTATTTTTTTCCCAGGGAAACACTGTTTAAAGTCTTGCTGTTTAATAATGGCCTCTTATAACCAGACATGTTTAGAATCAGTTACTGAGAAGGAATCCTTGTGATTTAATGACAGTTAGAAGGAAAAAAAAAAGTCACCCTTTCCCTTCCTTCATATAGTGTATATATAACAGGATTATAGTAGTATATGTTTATTCTTTAGTGCTACATTATTCCTAACAGAAGATTAAAAAATGTGTGAAACTACCTGGCTATCTTGTTGGAGGTGGTGGTGCAGAATCTGAGAGTGGGGCTGTTGGTGCGGAGTCAGGATGTGCATGAAGGGGGCCGGAGCGTAGCCAGCGGCAGCTGGGGGGTTGATGGGTCCACCGGTCCCCAGCGCTGAGGGGAGGCTGAAAGAAGCTGCTGGCGTCCCAGCATGGAAACCCTGCTTCTCAAATGACTGCAGAAACGAACCAGAAAAACTAAATCAAGGCTCTGCAGCTTTACTGGAAGATATTTGTCGTGTTTGTTGACTTAGAGGAAGGTCAGAGTCATAACCAGCAGTTACCTGCGTCTTTGTGTAAACAGATCCTGAAATATCCGGCACTCCTGTGTTGCTTGACGTCACAGAAACTCCTGCAGAAACAAGGGAAATATTTCATCAACATCTATGTTCTGATACATAGATAACTTTAGTAGATTCACACTTTCTTAGGAAAGCACAGATACTTAGGAGGAATAAACGGAAACAAACAGTTACTATGAATTAAAACCCCCTTAATATGCAAAAAAAACTGTATGGGGTCAAGTTGTAGAAGAAATCTACAACAAAAGCAAAGAACTAGTTTCTTTAGACCAGAAAGACTAATTAATAAACTTACTCCTACAAAACTGATCAAGGATGTTGGAGGAGGAAGGCATCGTTTATAAACCTGTAAATAAAACCACTAAGGCTCTAGTCAAAACAGCTACGATAGTTTTGAACTTATTTTCAAAATCTGTGCAAGACGAGTTGTAAAAAAATCTGGATATTAGGTAAAGAAAAAGATCTAAAGAAGGATTCAAGAATATTAATCATGAAACTAATATGAATGTTCATGCAGACTCCCACGCATCCATAATAAGCAGAAATGTAAAACACAAAGGGAAAAATAATCAGACGAAAATATTAATACTCTTAAAAAAAATTGGAAGTGCCCAATTATAAAAGATTACTGGAAAGAGATCAATAATGCCTTAAAAGACATTTTAAAACAGAAAATCCCTTTGGAGAACAAGTTTATGTGTTTTGGTATAATTCCTCAAGAAGCCTCAAAAAGAAATAAATATTTAATGACTATTTTATTTACAGCAAGTAAGAAAATCATTACAAGAAAATGGTTATTAAACCAACTTTAGACGACTGGATTAACATAACATTTGACATATACAAAATGGAAAAAATAACAGCCTCTCTAAATCACAAGACTGAACAGTTCTGTCAGTGGTCTGATTTCAATTTTAGAGACCAAACTTGATTCAATCTCAACAATCCACTCTCCTAATATGTTAAATCGAATTAGTTTTTTTTTTTACATTTTGTGTTTCCTTTTTACTTTTTTGTTCTTGTTCTTTTTAAATTTCTTTATTTCTTGGTTATAATCCTCAGGAAAGTGTAAATTTGCTTTGTTTGGACTACTATAACGTAATGCCTTACTTGTTCACCTTATTTCAAATGTTGGAGTTAATCCTGTGAAGTAGAGGCTTATGTAAATCATACTTTCCTGAGAATCAATAAAGATAAAAACAAATTGAAAGAGGAAATTAGGAGAAAATTAGAGTATTTGTAGAAGATATGAAACGTCAAAGAAATACATGTATGCAGAATTTTAATGTGTTGTATTTACATAAAGTGAGCTGGTAGTGTGGTTGTTAGCAGGGTTTTTGATTCATCCATGTTCCAAGACACCTGAATCAAATGGCTGAATTACCTCCTCAATGCGAGTCCTCTCAATCATCTAATCACTTGATTCAGGATTGTTGGACCGAGGACATAAGTTGCAAGATGAGGGCTCTCAGGAACTGGGACTGCTCACCTCTGGATTTATTCTGGCATTACATTATTTTTTTGTGATGACTTGTGAAAAAATTGTTTTAAGTAGGAGTGGGTGATTATTTCGTTTGATAGATTAATCAAACGTTTTGTTTATGAAGATGTAATTTTTGGAAAATCAACAGACTTTCTTCCATCAATCCATCTCCTGGGGCTTCCACAGCTCTCAGTGACATCAGTTCATCACTTTGTTCTTCGACGTCTACCTATAACTGATAAACTAGCCGACCCTGTAAAACCACCATCTGCAACCATTTAGTGCATTATATTTTCACTGTTTGTTGTGAAACATGATTGTTTTACACCATTTTTCATTGTTTGAATTTTATTGCCCTTTAAATTAAGGGCCCCTTCCAGAGCGAATGATTGGAATAAAAGTTTTTGAAATCATTATATGTAAAAGGCTTTTTTTAATTATGAATTTAAATTGAGAAAAAAAAATATCGGATGAATTGGATTTAAAGGACAAAAATGATCCGATCTTTCCTTTATTTTGACGCAGAAAAATTGGTTCTTTTAAACAATAATTGGTTTCTTTTGCATATTTAATTCATTGCTTACTGGGTGAAAAGAAGAATATAAACTGCTTTATGTTTTCAAACTGTAACTGAACTAATTACCCCTACAGTACTCTATAATTCGGCTGCAGAGCAAAACATTTGACCCAACTGGATTTGATGAAGTTTAATTATCGATGTTCGCCACAGAGGGACGACAGGAAAACCGACCATCATTCTGATTCTCCCAGAATCTCTAGTTTTGGAGAAAGTGACTAAACACCACTGAGGAAGAGTGCACAGAGAGCATGCAGTGTGAACTACCTTTCCATTCACACTAAAGTATCTTATCGATTTCATGCAAGACGTGCCGCATTCTCAGTATAAGACATTTATACATGTTATTAATGTGCTGATAATAACCAGAAGCCTCCAAAACATTTGCAACTGCAGAGTATAAACAATCCTCAAGCTTGACCATTATTAACCAGAACTGATGTACAAACGGCACCAAGGAGAGCGTAAACAAACCTACTAATCATTCTATAAGCTGCAGTCAGCCTAGATGCTCTTCCTTTGGAGATGCAGATTATTTCTCCAACAGTATGCTGGGCATTCTGACATGTTTAGATCTATTGTGTTGTCTTAAAGGAGCAGTTAGGGCCTTGTGTAGTTTGTCAGTCATGACTAATTGTAATGTATATTAATCAATACTGGCCGCCCTTTTGTACAAAATATTAAGTCATAAAACTTTTAAGTGTGCCAATATATAAAGAATAAAAGAACATTTCCTGGATTTTATGTGACTTTAAAATACATGTCCAGTCCCTTTAGTGAAACACAAGCAAAGGGATTATTCTATGCAAAAGCTGAGCAAATTGATTAAACACCTGAGTGAGAAGTAGAGCACCCCCAGTTTGATGGTCCATGCCAAAGTTGTGCTAATGTATGCATCGTTGACTAAATTAACTTTCCCTCTATTGGGAGCACATCTTCTGCAGGTAGAGGTTTTTTATGACTGGATATTTTATAATCAATAAGTGCCACCTACCACTGTTTAGTCTATTACACTTGGACTTTGTTTATATAACTTTCACTCACTGAAGGGTGAAGTTAGAAATCTCATCATTAACCTTACAATAAAAGTAAAACATGAACACTTTCATGTCTAGATTATTGGGATTGAGGCACTGTGAACCACACAGGCATAACCACCAGCTTTGCGTCACAGAGGAAATAGGTACGTATATCATATAAATCGTATGCAGTATAACAAAATGTATATGAAGGCTTTATAAGGGTTTGTAAAGATAAAGCTCCATAAAAGCCTATGAAAAAAATCATGGCATTTAAACCGACATTCAAGGTTTGATATTTTTATACTAACCCTATGATGATTTGTTGAACAAAAAGTTAAATATTTATAAAATTCAAATTCATTGAGCTCTACTTAGCTAAAAGTGAACTTTTTTTTTAACCCTTTCTCTGATAATAATCAAAATAGAGAAACAGGAACTGAAACCCTAGTAGTTATAAAAAACATAAATGATGTGTCAGGAGTCCAGGACAGGATAATTCCATCAAGCCTGTGCATGCATTTACACATAGAAAAGATGCTTAGCTAAAAAAAAAAAAAGAAAAAATAAATAAATACATACATACACACTATGCTTCATAAATGTTGCCACAAAGATGAGAACTTCTGCAGCTTTTGTCTGGTCACACTCACACAAGCCCATTTAATCCACTAGTTGTTTTGTTGCTTTTTATTTACTAGGTGGTGAACTCATGACTGCAGACTCATTTAGCAACCTTGGTGTGAATGAAGAGCAAACAAACACAAGAGCAGCATCAACCAGAGGAACTCATAATCAGCTGGGATTTTTACAGTTTGTCTTATCTTAGCTTTTTAACAAACATCGTTAGGGTAGCAATGTCAATTATTTAACTATAATAAGACTGATGATGAATTTCCTCCAGCAGAATTCATGTAATGGAGAAAAATGGCACAATAAAGCCAAGAGAGGCTCACTTGTAAGCAAATGCAGAGTAGCGTTTGTCCCATAAGCAAAGCTCACCAGCAATGAGGCAAAAAAAACAAACAATTAAGAGTGAAAGAAAACAGACGAGGGGGAAGAGGGATGGCTGGTGACACGAGGAGGAAGACTGAAGGAACAGGTTGTTTCTTTACTTGGCATGTGGCTTCACTCACCGACTCCAGGCCCGGTGACGGAGCTGGCTGGCTTGTTTTGTGCAGAAGCAGCAGCGGCCACGGCAGTGCCGTATCCGCCCTTACAGAAATCCCCACTCCCTGAAGCCTGGCCCACATCCTCATAGCCTGCAACAGTCAGACACACAGCCGCAGCCCACAGCGTTAGACACACCAGGCAGGGGAGGGAGAGGGGGGGGCACAGGGGGAGACCCGCTTCAGATGGCATTTGCAAATAACTTTTAGTCTGACACCACTGCTAGTAGACAGGCCTTGCTGTATTATTACAATGAAAATGGTGCAGAGTCCTTATGGAAGATTAATCTGGACTTTGACACAAACTGCAATGTCTGCATAGCAGAGCCAGTCCAAATCAACGGCCACTTCATTTGCAAATGCCTTTTGAATCAGGTCTTAGGTGGAGAGGTGAGGGAAGTGAGGGTCAGGCAGGGCTGTGTGAAGGAAGGGGATGGAGAGTGAGTGTGAGTGGGGTGAGGGCAGAAAGCAGCGGATGGTGCAGCATAGAACAAATGGGTGATATAAAAGAGAAACTACAAAAACAAATCACTCAATTATTGGAAAATGAAATATGAATGTATAAAGTGGACCTCAGAATACCACAAGGAAAACCAACAGGAAATGACTGAAAAGGGAAAATGGAAAAGCAATAGTTTCACTTGGAGCTGTAGGAAATGTGATCAATGACAAAGCCAGTAGAAAGACTCCACTTCTAGAATGAGAACAGCAAACCATGGAAATAGCAGGAGACCGATAATCTAATCCCTCCATTTGGTCAACAGCACAGCCAGAGATCACTGCTGTATCCGTTTCCACTTCCCACAAATGATCCTTCACATTGTTACAGCTAATTCTTTTCTGACAAACTCTGCAATCATACCAGCTACAAAACATGAACCGTCCAAATTTAAGAACAAGTTCTCCATTTAAAATGTTAGTAAACAAAAAGCAACAACAACCGTCTTCATCCAAGTGAAAAAAACTACTACATACATACAATGCTTACACTTGCAGCAGCGTTCTAATGAAATATGGACCCCGCATCGATGGGAAAAAGAGCAAACGGTGACTATGGTGGAGTTTTACAAAGCAGGATCCTCACCAGTGCTGTATCCATGGGAACTATAGCCACTAGCTTGCTGGAAGGGCGTGGCAGATGCATTTACGCCAACATTCACACCGTGTTGTTTTGAAGAGGTAGGAGCCACCTGGACGGAAGCGAAACAAAAGCACAAAATGTCAGAATGATATAAACCAAACTGAGCTGGGATCAGAGCAGAGTATCCTCTTAGACAAAGGAATAGATAATTGCAATGACAGTCTAAAGGGACATCGTGTAACATTTTTTTTTTCTTTTTTTTCTTTTTTTTATTGATGACAGCATTTAAATAGGTTATTATTAGAGTATTATTACCCCCACTAAGGCTGTTTGCAAATCCATGAGTCTGCTAGCTTCAAAGTATAGCTTCAGGTTAGGGATAAAGTTGTAGTGTGTGGAATAACAATGCCTTCCCCTTGATTCATTGTGATTGAGCAGCAGGGGTGAAGATCGCGTGGAGACACTAACCAACAACTGAAAGTCTGCAGCACAATGCCAACACTGTTTACAGTGCGGGTGGGGAGATGCTGACCTCAACTAGGGATGTTTTCGGGCGGTGGAAGGAGTACTTCGAGGATCTCCTCAATCCCATCGTCACACCTTCCGAGGAGGTGGCAGAGGCTGGGGACTTAGACGCGGACTCGCCCATCAGCCAGGCTGAATTCACAGAAGTAGTTAGAAAGCTTCTTGGTGGCAGTTGCCCCGGGTGTGGATGAGATATCCTGAGTACCTTAAGTCTCTGGATGTTGTAGGACTGTCTTGGCTGACACATGTATTATTTGGCGGTTGGGGACAGTACCCCTGGATTGGCAGACCGGGGAAGTGGTCCTTCTTTTTAAAAAGGGAGACTGGAGGTTGTGCTCCAATTACAAAGGAATCACACTCCCCAGCCAACCCGGTAAGGTCTACTCCAGGACGCTGGAGAGGAGGATCCGACCGATAGTTAAATCTCCGATCAAGGAGGAACAATGTGGTTTTCGTCCCAGTTGCAGCACACCAGACCAGCTCTATATCCTTCATCAGGTGCTCCAGGGTTCGTGGGAGGTCGCCCAACCAGTCCACATGTGTTTTGTGGATCTGGAGAAGGCTTTCGAAAGTGTCCCTCGTGGTGCCCTGTAGGGGGTGCTCCGGGAGTATGGGGTCTGGGGGCCTCTGTTAAGGGCTTTCCACTCTCTGTATGACCGCAGCAGGAGCTTGGTTTGCAAGGCTGACAGTAAGTCAGACCTGTTCCTGGTGCATATTGGGCTCCGCCAGGGCTACCTGCCGGTTCTGTTAATTTCATTCAAGGACAGAATTTCTAGGCGCAGCCAGGGACTGGAAAGAACTTGTTTCAAGTGGAGGAGTTCAAGTATCTCAGGGTGTTGTTCACAAGTCAGGGATGATGGAGTGTCAGATCGATCATCGGATCGGTACAGCGTCGGCGGCGCTGCAGTAGCTGTGTCGGGCTGGCAAGGTGGGGAGAGGGAGCCGAGTCGGGGGGGCAAAGGTCTTGATTAACAGATTGATCTACATTCCCATCCTCAACTACGGTCATGAGATCTGGGTAATGACCATAAGAACAAGATCGCGAATAAAAGCATCACCCTTGGAGATCAGGTAAGGAGCTCAGTTACCCGGGAGGAGCTCAGAGTAGAGTAGTTGCTCCTCCACGTTGGTAGGACCCAGCTGAGGTGGCTTGGGCATCTGTTTCAGATGCCTCGTGGAACACCTCCCTCGGAAGATGTTCCCGAGGGAGGTGTTCCAGGACACGCTGGAGGGACTATGTCTCTGAGCTGGCCTGGTGTCTCCAGACATGAAAGATTAAGATCATTTTAGCTCCATTTCGGACACCCTGGTGTCGTTATGAAAGCAAACTGTTTCTTCAGAGCATGTGAAATAATAGCTTTATTCACTAGAAAAGATCCCACCTTTAGTTTATAGTCTGGAAAGAATACAAGGTTGAAAATATCCAAAGTTTGTTTCATTTGTTCCACATCTTTTCCCTACAGCTTTCAGAAAGTGTAGAAACCTTTTTAAGTTTAAAGCACCTTTGCCAAGTGGCCTTTGGCATAGAATTTAACTTCTAAGTAAGCCTTTAAAGTAAGAAGTAATTAATCATGTTGTACATGCTGACATTTGGACAGGTCAGTACTGCTCAACTTTTGCTCATTTGAGGTTATAATTGGAACATGTTTTGATTCCCAAGAATTTAAACATATTATATACTGAATGATTTTTTTCCCTTCCAGAATGTCTTCAAAAAAAGATCTAATTGAATATTGGAGACGTGTCCTAATCCTGGATCACATCATCAAGTGTGGCATAAATACATTTCAGTCATGATAATGCTCTGTGCTTCAACAAGCAGATCAGCTGCATTAAAGTAATGTTAGGTTTCTCACCGGAAACATGGCAGGTCCGTACTGGAAGGTGTTGGGCAGGCCTGGCATGCCAGTGTAATAAGGGAGGCTTGTGTAGCTGTAGCCAGGAGGCAGCGCCGGGTTGAGGAAGGTTTGCTGTGTGGTGTGGTGTGTCTGGGTCTGATTCTGTTGTGTCTGAGCTAACGTGGTGGCCGGAGCCGGGGATGATGCATCACCTCGACTGAACTTTGATAAGTCGCCTGAAAATAAAACAAATTTTGTAAATTATTAACCAGGAATCAACGTGGGCTGAACTTTTCAGGAGCAAATCATCTCCATCAGTACAAGCTCCCACCTGTATTCTTCTGTTATTACAGGGAAAAATAGACATGTTTGATTTAGATCTACAAAAATGGAAATCACTTAAGGGACATTCTTTAGTCGCCATCGATGGTTGCAATGAACCTGCTGCAGCCATAAACACTGCAACAGGTTTAGGGTCTGATTATAAAAGTATTTGGGTTCATAAGAGTTTACTAAACCGGTTCCAGCTTTTAAGATTATGCTAGTGCTTTATACCTGCACTAACAGGCTAATAACAGATATTATCCAATCAAGACCTTCAAATCGATTCAGTTTTTCTTTTCACAAAAAAAGTAAAAAAAAAAAAAAAAAAAACACCTCGACTCAAGGAAAGCATTAGAATATTACAAGTTGTCTCTAATTTTCCTACAGTTAACTTTAAAATTCTGAGCCACCGTTTTCAAGTATTTGAAGGAAGAATTTCTCGTATGATTTTCTGCTATGTTATTAAACATTTCTGACGTTTTTAAACACTGTCCTTTTGTTTGTTTAAATTTCATTTTCCAACTGTTCCTGTGAAGCAAAGTCCAACAAGCAGGTTGTTAAAAACACAGTTGAAGAGTTAAGGCACTGACATTATAAAATCTATCCGCATAGCAAAATATTATTTGTGAGGTAAAATTTACTTAATGCATTACAGTTCTTAAGTGCAAAACAAAACAAAACAAAACAAGGTGATGGACAAACGTTATTTGATTAAAGACAATTAAAACTTTGTTCCAGCTTGGTTCTTGGTGGAAAAGCAAAGCAGTTCTTCTACAGAACCAGCTAGATCTGGCGCAAAGGCCCTATAACAATAATAATAATAATACTAATAATAATAAACCAAATTACCTACAAGACCCAGAAAAAAACAACTATCCACTATTGTGAATATCACAATTGTTATCCTGTCAATTTAGCAAGAAATTAATATAAGTTATAAAAAGGCCAAAAATTATTAAAAGCTTAGACAGTTTATTCAGTTCCTAGAAGCCAACTTACCGGAGTATGGGTTGTTTGTCAGACTACCATCTCTGCCAGTTAGTGCTGTCGTTGGAGTCGCAAAGGGAATGCTGTAATAATCCTAAAAATAAAAAAAAAAAAAAAAAAAATGGTTGAGAGCAGAAATTATGCTGTACTCGGTAAGGTATGCGTGTTATTTTTAAAACAGCTAAATGTGGAAAAAGTGAAACTCACCAATGGTATTCTTGTTTGTAACATCTGTAGGTCATCGTAGCCATACATCTGAGGCTGTAAGGAAGTGATACAAATTGTTTTAGGTATGTATATAGGACAGAAACAAAAACTAAGGAGATATGAATAGTTTATCATGATGCAATTAAAGTAAAACGTACGGGGTAAGCATGCAGTAGTCCAGGAGCCATGATGTATGGGTTGGGCAGTAGAGGGGGTACACCAGGAGGCAGATTTGGAGGTGCTTTCCCTTTACGGATTTGAAAAGAAAGAAGTCATTATTACCAGTTATTAAGTTATAATAATGCTAAACAGCCTCATTTGCAACAACAAAAGTCAAAAACTTACATTTACTTAAAAAAAAAAAAAAAAAAAAAAAAAAAAGAGAGCAACATCAAACACCTTACAGGCTTTAAATTTCTAAATGTCATCCCATTACAACAATCTTCAAAGCAATTCACTTGTTATGTGATGTTTTGCATGTGTGTGTGTGTGTGTGTGTTTTCAAGCCATGCTAGGGAGAGATGGGGCATGGGATCAGAGATTGCATGAATGATTGAAGACTAAATTTGACTTTTGAAAATCCAATACCAAAAACGACCAGAAGATGGCATTCAAAGTGCATCTGTATCCACTTGCATACACCACATTTATTCTGATAGCCAGTTTTGCTGCTAAGCGTTCCTGGAGACCAGCGTGCAGAAGCAAGCGCCACCTAACTTCACCTAACTTCCTGCACCAGCTGCTAAACAGCTTATCAACTCGCGCCGCCTCCTCCAGCTCCTCCAATCTATCTGGCAACTTGAGCAAGAAACGATAGGAAGTACACGCTTTCCTAAGACCCGACCCTTTCTTCTTCTGATTGGCTAATACTGTTAGTTTCAGAGCGCTCGTTTGCTATCATTGGCTGACAAATGCAAGATAGATTTCGATTGTGTTTTTTTATTCATTTACCATCAATTTATTTTCGAGTCATTTTTTTAAATCTACGGGCAATCACTATGAGCCGAAAATCTGGCTGGGGTCAGAATACTTTAATCCCTGCTGTTTGTTGTCGGATCACAAACAAAGCGTGGATTTTTTATCTGCTGCTGACCTGAGGAAGCTGCAGAGCTGCGTGTGGAAGAGGTTGCTGAGGAGGGAACGGTCGATGATGTTGTAGAGACTGAGATTGAGGCGGGGGCTGCTGTCGGTGCCCCCATGGAGGCAGCGTTGAGGCCCATTGCCAGACTGCTGACGGGTCCTTGGGCCGAGGGAGTCGAGACCGTAGCAGGGCCCACCGAGGAGGCCTGTGGTACTCCCAGAGACATCTGTGCACCAGCCATGGAGGAAGATGAGGGGGGGACTGATGAGGATGGCACAGCCGAGACGGTGGAAGAGAAGGATGAGTGCAGGCTCAAGTCGCTGTCTACATTGGGATGCTGTTGAGACAGAAGAATTAACTTATGAGATTAAATATCCATTAGAGTGAAGCTGCATCTGGAACAACAGGAAGCAATGAAAAAAAGGCCTTAAGCAACTTTAAACTGCAGCAAAAACAGAGGAAGAGATGTTTTTTAATAAACTGTCTATTTTAATCCGAGAAGATCAAACTGAGTTGAGGCTTAAGGAGCTCACCAGTAAGCTTGAGCTTGATGTTCGAACTGAAGATGGAGCAAGACTGTTCTGTTGTGATGGGTGGGAGCTGTGGAAACAAACTTGGAGGGTGAGAATCTGTCACATGACACTACCTCTACTGTGTTTTCCATCCTGGATGCACAACTGAACTTCAGCTTACTTATTATGCTGAGGAGGGGGGATGGAACTTGGCGGGTGGTCCTCGTTGTGGCTCAGATCACTAAGGTTTGTCTGATTGGATGCGGTCAACAGGGAGGCGGGGCCTGAGCCACTGTCTGTCAAAGTGCCCATGCTGGAGATGGATGAAGGCGTGACTGAATCAGAGGGCGGCTTCACTGATACTGCAGACCAGAGTGGAACAGAAGATGGAAATGAAATGATATTTTATAACACGGCAAAGGTAATTTCACCTGATCACTGTTTCTATGAGTTCAACTAACCAAACATGTTAAGAACCTTTAAAACCATTACCTAAATAAATTGTTTTAGTTAATGACCTAATTGAAACATGACTTATGTATCTCAGCAAAAAAATAAATAAATAAATACCCTAACCTTATCCAATAATGTTTTTCTTTACTCACTTGTCTATGTGATTTTTGGCTTACTAAGCTTCCAGGCCCTCCAAAACAATATGCAATAAGCTTAATAACAGCAGTTGACGACTGAAATTTAGCATTTCCAACCAAACCTAAATATGCATATCTTTAAGGAAAACTGATCTGGCTGAAACAAAATATAAAATTTCCTTCCCATTTTCCTAAAGAACATACAAACATGAATGTTTGGCTTTAAATGCTTTCAGACTCATCAGGAACCTTGCTGACAGTTTTAAAAATAAGGATAAAGAAGAAAGACTGCTTACCGTCAACAGACTGAGTGGTTTGTATTGAATTGAAGCCATTCTGAAATAAAAAAAACATGGAGATCACTGATTTGTTCAGAAATTACACAGGAGTAAAATGTGTGAGTTTTTAGGCTCTTGGTAGTTATGTTGACTTTGCAGCTCTGTCAGAGCTGAGAAGGACTCTACTGGATGTCTGCTAATAGTCAGAAGGAACACCTAGAGGCTTTCTGTGTGAAGTCTTTAAACTTAGACAACTTTTATTTTCATTCAAACAAAATTTCGTTTAGTGCAGCTTTCAGACAGTAAATGAACATTTCTATTCCTCTTGGAAGGATCTCAAAAAAGCCGATAAAGACAAAGGTTTCTTTAAACCTTCACAATAAGAGCCTTACGTTTATAACTGCCCACTGAAATTTAATCACCAAATCTTTAAACAAAATTTAATTAGGTTATGGCTCATATTAAACTAACTAATTAGTCTGGGGCACTTGGGTGTTTTATTCAACTTGTGCTGCTGTGTGCCTCCAAAGACACTCGGATAAATGTTTATTATTATTTATACAATAGCTGTTGTTTTCCAGTGCAGAGAAACTAAAGGAGTCTATAAAGCTATAAATGATTTTCTTACTGTAAAATCTCCAGGTTTTTATAATGATGATCATCATGTTTCACATTTTAAACACACATATGCCAAGTTTCTTCTGTATTATCACACACAGGTATTACAAATAATCTAATAGGATATTAAAACAGAAAATTTCTGTTAAAAAAAAGAAGATTTTTATTGGTTGGCTGCAATACCGTAATGTGTCTTTTTTTTTTTTTTTTTTATAAGCTGTAAGCACAACATCATAAGAAAAAAAGGTTGAAAATGTATGTGTGAATTTAATCTTATTTTTACTTAACGATTAGAGTTGGTTAAGCAATTTTTAATAATAATTTAATTTTTAAATCCAGACAGTAAAAAAGGATCATTACAGAGCATGACTGCAAGATCACTAATGAAACTCATGAAATAAAATGAGTTGGTGATCAAACATTGAATGATCCAAGTTCATTAAGTAAGCAGTAAATACGTTGAACATACTGTAAACCACCCATTTCAAAGCATAATGTCCATACAGGGTCACAATTCAATTAAAAAATAAAAAATCAATAATCAATCAATTTCTTTATTGTCAACTACAATTTGCATTGTAACCGATTCATGTCTTGCTCCAAATCAAACCTTTTTAAATATTTACTTTACCTTGGATTGCACGTCCTTCTGGGGAGAGGAGGAGACTGACGGTGGGTAACGGCGCGTCTGAGGTGCTCTCTGCTCGTACATTTCCATTTGGCTGGAATTGGAAATTGATGGAGCCGATTCACTGCAGATCAGATGGAAATCATCCAAAATATAAAAAGAAATAAAACATTAAGATTTCAGTCGGATAAAGAATTGACACAATTCAAAATAACATTTGCAGGAAAAAAATAAAAGACATATACTGAGTAATGCTTTAACAAAACAGAATAGTTTTGAATAGTCAGAATAGTTAGAATTGTTTGCTGTTCTCATAAATTATTCAGTCCTCAAAAAATAAAAAAATATATAAATAAAAAAATACTTTTTAAGGTCTTTCATATTAGAAACACAAGGTGGCACCAAACACCACATGTTTAAAACTACAAGGTTCAGAATTATCTTCTTCAGGGCAAGTTTATAGTGTTTGATTTTGAAGGTTACCAACCTGCTTGGGCTTGTGTAGAGACTGTTCTGAACTTGGTTGCCGGGTGTTGTAGTTGCAGGGGTGGACTCGTATTCCTGTAGAACTGGTTCTGACCCAAACTGCAGCGCTCCAAACTGAAGGTTGAGGCCTGAAATGTCTGCTGAGCCAGGCATTTCAACCGCCATTGCAGGAATCTGAGAAGGAACAGGGACGCTCTTAGTAAAGAGGAACTAATTCAATGATGCTCAGCATGATGCTGAAGAAGACGGTTTGAAAAAAAAAAACCAGCTTCATCTTTTGCTTTCTGGCACATTTGTTGCATCTTAATACCTGTATTAGATCAGCACCAGAACATTTACCATGTCAATTTTTGTTCGTATATTTACAAAATACATTTATTTTCCGTCGGATGTTTGGATTTATATTTCATTAAGTTGCAAAGTGTGTAGCAACCCCTTTAACTCTTTTTACATTTTGTCTCATTACTACCACAAACTCGTATACATGCAAGATCAACTGATACTGCGATTATTCGACATCAATCTAACCGTCCCGTTATGGGCTGCTGAACTGTAGGAGCGAATATTGAAGACAATTGGTTTCCTCCTTCCACCATTTCCATGATGACAATAATAACAAATATTACACATGTCTCGATTTGAACATTAAAAAGAATTAATTATGAACAAATCAAATTTCACCATTGACAAAGGACAGCAAATGGAGGGAGCAGCAGTATATCTCAAGGTAGGCTGCCAAATGCGCTAATGAATTGGCTTACTCAGAACTAGAAACTCTGTACATAGCGAATAAAGGGTTTTACCTTTGTTGAAATAGAAGTTCTCTTCTTCTGCTGTTTGAGTTTGTGTTGCTGTAAAGGCAGTGGACTTGAACCCTGGGCGTCGGAGGAACTAGGGGAGACCTGCTGACCTATAGAGACAGCTGCCATTTTGGGAAGGGAAGAAGCAGGTGGCGGTACCACGTGGGGTGATGTTGGTGTTTGCTGCGGTAAGGAGGATGATGAGACTGAGGCGGATGGAGGCAGCCCTTTGTCCTGCAGGAAAACATCCAACATGGACGAAGTTGAGGTGGCAGCCTGGTAGGGCTGCCGCTTTGTAAAGGGTGTATGGATCCCAGATTCAGACTGAGTCTTCATTTCTAAACAATAACAGGATGAAAAAAAAAAGAAAAGAAAAAGGGATTACAGTCATATTTATTTAAGACTTTACAAATGAACGCATTAGTATTTTGGTTGAATTCTATTTGTAAGTTATTTTCTACTCGTTTCTCACCATACTGCCCCAGTGTGGAGGCACTGTTATCCCAGGATGAAGGCGCGCTGCCGGGAGGTCCGGTCTGAGAGTGTTGTGCCGCCAGCTGGGCCAGAGCCTGGGCTGTTTTATACTGCTCCAGGAACTGGGAACCAGTAGTTCTTGTGTTACCTCCTTTAGGGTCTCCCACTTCCCCAAATCCTTTACTAAGCATGCTGGCCTGCAGTGTGAAACAGTTATTACACCACTAGTTAGTCAGCAGTTTAAGACACAGCGGCTGTATAAATGTTTATCAGACTGGTCTTCAATTTTATCATCAAGACCTCACCATGCTGTGCTGGGAATATGGGCTGCTAGAGGAAGTTTGGGAAAGTGGTCCGACCTGCTTGGAATTGCTGAAAACCAGAGACTGGGACAGAGGGGGGGGCTGAGTGGCCTCCATTGGGGCATTTTCCGTCTCTGAGGATGAGGATGGAGGAGTTTTCCCCAGCAGCACCGCAAGGTCAATCCTGCAACAGGTAAGAAACACATTTAATATGTCGTCCTTGCTTTGATTATTTCAGGGCTGAAAGTTGCAGTTTTGTCCTTGATTATCTGTCAACAACTAATTCCTTAACCCATATTTTCTCTTCTACATTCTTCAAGTAACACAATTTGTGTATAAGATGAAAAACATTAAAGTTATCTGTGATATAAAGAAGGGCAAATATATTTTCTACAGTAACCTTAAATAAAAACAAACCTTTGTCCTTTGGTGATTGTAACATTCTCTTGAGGCACCGGGACCGAAGCTACACTGGAAGCTGTGAAAATCTTGGTCTCTGAAAGCTGAGGACAAGATCAGAGGATTAGACAGATTGTATCTGGAGGTAAAGAGTGTGTGTCTGTGTGAAAGGGGGACTCCAAGACAACCAGATGAAATTTGTTTCAGGAATTTTTGTTCGTTAAAGTGAAAAGAAAATTCAAACACTGTAAAATGTTAAAATACAAGAAAGAATAAGGAAAAGTAAATGAAAAAACAGGATGGATAGGAGGGTACAAAGAAGAGGAAGACCGTAAGAGTGAAGGAAACAAGGATAGAAGCAACAAGGGGATGACAAGGTAGGCTAAGAAGATAGAAGAGCAGAGAGAAGAGACAAGGAAGCAACAAAAAGGAAAGAAAGAACTACAAGGAGGGCGGAACAAAGAAAAACACACAAAATAAGAAGGCAAAAAGGGCACTAGGGAGAAATGATAGAAGACAAGGAGAAAGAGAAACAACACTACTAATGAAGGAAATTAATCAAGGACGGAGAGGAAAGAAGCCAAAAAACTAGAAGGTATTCAACAATTGAAAAAGGAAAAAAAAAACAAGGGAAGACAAAGGATAAGAGAAATACAGGAATGAAGGACTGAGGAGAGAAATGTATTTCAAATAATGGGGTTAGGGAAATAAGTCAAGAAAAGAATATTTCACATGCTTCTTTAGGCCTTAAATATACTGAAATCAATTCCAGGATTTTCCCGATAGTGAAGGAACCAGGAGAGAATCCGGTTTTCACCATCTTATCAAAACAGCGGCCTTTTACGAAGGTCGCAAACCAGGAGACTAGGACATCTCTTTGTAAAGCATAAAATGTGAACAGTGAATTCCTTAAACACTCACATCCTCATTCCAGTCCTCAGTGCCCCACTCCTCCGTGGCAGCTCTCCAGGGACCTGTAAGCCAGAGACAATCTGATCAATGCCGTCTGCATTCAGACTTAATAAAAATCGATTTCTGTAATGACTGAAAACAAGAGGAAAACAAAGATACCAGGAGCCGAGTCAAACTTTGGTGGGTAATTTGTTGCCTCTCCTGCAGAATACTCCAACCCTAAAAACAAATTTAATCCACTTTATCAGATAAGATTGCCTAACAGAACAGTTTTCCTACAGTTGATTGTTTAGACAGAAATATTACCATTTTCTCTTTTGTACGATTTACAAAGCTGAACAATTTCTCCAGCAGCCAAATATGCTGGAGGTTTTATACATGTTGTACAAAACCTTGCAGTACTACAAGGTTTGGAGTCATTATACTATTGCGAGTTTTCAGTTAATATTTTAGGGATACAGTTTTCTTCTTTAAATGACCAAGACAGCAAGCATTATGTTCCACTCTAGGCTAGTGAACCTATTTTGCCAGAACATGCATCATCCTTTGTTCTCTTATGGGCTTATCAGCTTTTCTGGGTCCTTTGTTTTGAGTTTCATTTTCCTTACATTAATGGGCGAATAAAAAACTTCTGCACCACTTCTTGGCATGCAGATGGTGATGCATGACCAGGGTTAAAAATGATTGATTTAGAAAATAATTATGTTAATCTTGACTGCATGGGTTTCTTTAGAAAACATTAAAACCATTTAGATGACAAACAGGCTACACTTCTATTATACACCCAATAGATGACCTTACTTGCTCCCTCCTCCAACTCCACACTTCCTGTGTTGTTCCAAGTACTGCCCCCTCCATAGTTTTCCTCAGTCTGGGCTGGCTCAGCATAGTCAGCAGGGTTGAAAGTCCTGAGCAAGAAAGAGAAAAGTTGAGAAGTGAAAATGTGCAGACAAACCAAGAGCAAAAACTGCCAAGGCACGTTCATAGACAGAAACTGTTTTTAAGCTCTTTAAAACGAAGTCACATTTCTGTTGCTAAAACAACCTACAAGCGGGTATTTATTATTATAAAACCAGATGTTCTCTAAACCCCGTTTTATGAGTTTATATAGAAATAAAAAGGTAGAATAACATTAAAATTATGTTCTTTTAACATCTACTGAATAGTAGAATAGAGGAAGTATTTGAAATATTTGGGCAAACGATGAACAGCAAACCGTGGGTAAGAAATCAAGGAAACCATTTCGTCAGCCAGTGGTTCTCAAACATTTCATGACCCTCAAGTTGTGCCCCCCAATTTTTTAACAGTTAAGGAAAAGTCAACTGCAATAAATTGAACTTTGCAAATGACTCAACAAAGATTTCCATTAAATCATAAATTATTTACTATTATTTAAGATTTCAGAATTGCCATCAACACATAAAAAAATCAACTCCCAAAATAGGTAATTTATTCTGATTTCTACCAGCCCCCTGCAAATAAGATAAGCCCCCCTACTATGGGATCCACTGCTTTACACTCAGCAGAACAGCAGGTAATAATAATAAATAAATAAAAAAATAATAATAATAATAATATGTCAGTTTTACTGCAGATCCAACCCTTTGAGGAAATGAACCAATCACTAACCATGGTGCTATGTTTTAAAGCAGCTAAGGAACTCTACATACAGAGCAGAGCTGTAAGTTAGAAAATCTTGCGATGGTAATAATGCAAAATGATTACGATGAAGGTCTAATGCTGCCTTCATGTGGTCTACTAAAGGGAATCTTTTCCACTTCTAACGTGGAAATTACCATTGCATTGTGTTCAAATGCTTTTGCTGTGGTAGAGAAGAGAAACATGTTTGAACCACAGTTTATCCCAACAGACACAAACTTTCTAGTTAATCAGCTACAGGAAGAAAAGGATGCATCAAATTAATTGACTGACTGAAAGAGAGTATCTGATAAAAATAAAAAAATAACAGTCATTTAAAAAAATAAATATATATGTGGATGCACATACAGATTTTTTTATGCATGTCACAGCATTCTGAAGGCTACAACCAACCGGAGAGAATGTTTAAGGATGCAGTATTGACCGTATAGAATCGCTGTGCTGCTCTCCAGCATGTTGATAAGTTGAAGTTTACTCTGGTATAACTTTATCCAGTAGTAGTTTCAACATGTGTTCACGTGCATTTTTTGATGTAGGTCATTGGCATTCACCATAATTATGTTACAATATGAAGGCACCATCATTTACCTCCTCTGTGCTTCCGACACTGTGACCTTTCAGCTTTTTCTGTAAACTCATTTAGGCCAAGTGAGAACATCTGCTGATGTGAGACACTGTCCAACTGGCTAAACATTGCATTTGCTTGTAAACTAGAAAAGTTCATAACACTTGGAATAAATCAGCCATCAATTACTGCACTACGAGCAATGCACACACCCTCAGCTCAGCCATGACACCAGTTGAATTTTACTTTAGGCACAACATGAACAGAATAACCTTTAATGATAATTTTTAGATCTAAATAACCTTCTCTCCATATAATTAAGTTGTTCTTTAAAAATGAATTAACTAGATTACAGTAGTGCAGTTAATTGCCTTTTTTGTTGTAGTATAAGAAACATTGTGATGATAAAAAAAAAAACAAAAAAACAGTGTTGATAGATTCTATAACCATCAATCTCAATCCACTTGAGGTTGGACCAAACAGAAAAGAATCGATTACATCTTGAGAATCTAAAATGATACCGAGCCGCACACTTTGCCATTATTACATCCTATTGGGTGGCAGCTATGTTAGTCATTAGCTATGTTTACATGGACACATCATTGGATTGAAGGCCTTATCAGATCAAATATGTGTCATGTAAACATATAGGACTAGGGTTGTAGTCAAGATCACACCAACCAAGACCAAGGAGTACAGAGAGATCACGACCATATAAGGTGTTGGGCTTCATCTGATCGACAGCTTGATACCTTTATAGACATGACATGAGATCATTTTATTTAGTGTCCATGTAAACAGAGATTTTAAACTTAAAATCAATAAAGATTTAGATCCGATCAGAAAAATTGTGTGCATGTAAATGTAAATATTGATAAAAAAAGTCACACAGCTGTCTGCACACCAGCTGCTTTGCCTCACACATTTCTTCCCACATTTTTGTCAGGTTTATCCTCGCTATCATGAGTTATAAGCCCAAATAAAACTGAAGCCTTTTTAAAATATCATAGAAAAATCTTTATACAAAAAAGATAAAAGTGAAATTTACTGCAGAGTAACTTGCAAATTTGTTGGAGGATCTTGTAAGATATAATGTAACAGCATCCTGTTGTTGGACAACTTAAACCACGTTTCAGATAATCCTTGCAATGCTGAATGGCTTTCCGTTTCTATATGGTTCCACTCAGCCAGAGCAGTTTGCAAATGTATAACCATGGTAATGGTACAGAGGCTTTTATGGAATAATTCAACATATCCATTTCAGATAGAAAGAGAATTTGATTCAGGGAGAGGAAACCACATGTCTTCAGACCTTAATCTTAAACACATCCAAGACTTTAGCAGGGGCTGAAAAGGCAAAGCATAAAAAAGATCTATACGAATTACTGATCACTTTGCTGCTTCCTGTTTCATCTATTTATAGTGCAATGTCTATTAAGAATGCCATCACAAAGAAACACTTCCTCTATTGCAAAACCCCAGTAGCAGTTTAAATGCACAGACCCAGAGACAAAGCAAGAGATGGAGGTTAAAGTTAAACTGGCTCCAGAGTGGATCTTTTCAAGTTTCCTTCTGAATGAAATGTTTAGAAGCTGCACTCTGCAATGCTCTGTCCACGCCGTTACGTCTCATTGGCTGAAGCTGGCCCCCCACCTTTCGATTAAGGCGGAACAATAGACTTAGGTCATGCTTTCTGGTGACTATGGCAACAGGTGAAAGTAACAGAAAGCTGTATGGATTTAAGCAGCACAGATATTCCCTTACCCCATGCCTTGTGCTGAAAACCTGCCCCCTCTCCGTCCAGATACTCCTGGGGGGAAAAGAAATGAGAGTATTTCAGTGCAAAGCTTAACCTCATATTTCCAGAAAGCAACATAGATGCATAACCTCCTCAGAAGTGATTTATTTCAAATGATTATTTACCAATAGTTCCCCTTCCTCTGCCTCTGCCCCTTCTGCCTCGCTCTGCTCCTCTTCCAGCTACTCCAGCTTTGCCACCATCTAAGCCATTCTCCTGGCCTCGGACTGTAATTATAAGACAGGATGGTGTTTGGTTACAACTCTGCAGTGCACACATTCCTCTGCAAAATGACTTTAAAATAAGTTACATCAACGGGAAACAAGCAGAACAGCCATTACAATATTTAAAAATCAAAAACCCAACTCGTAATGAAAAAAAAAATCCATGTTTTCCATTTAAAGTCCAAGCTCAGATCTAGGAATAACATCAAAGCCAACTTGATCAAGAGGTTAAAGTTTTGTCTCATGTCAACCTGACAAACACCGTCAGCAATACGTGATCAGCTTTTAATACATCCAAACACCGTGGCAAATGTTTAACAAACAGAGGCTTTGCAGACCTCTATTTGTTAAACATTTGGATTTAGATACAAATACATCTAAACTGCAGCCATCATCATGTTTCTAACCCAGCAGTCCTATTAGATATTTAGAGCAGCGCTTTAATTCAACCTCTAAGCTAAATCTGGGATTTCAGTTTTAAAAAGATACATTTTTAACTGATAATTAGGAAATTACTGCATCACATAAAGCAGAATAGGACCAATATCTGGAAGTACTGAAAACTATTGACACAGAATGAGTCTAAGAGACGGACAGGAAAGGGTCAGATAGTGAAAAACACTGGAACTTAAACAGAAGGCTTAAACTGGAAATATTTAGCTTTACCATTTATGGCATTCTGTGTATTTTTAAAAATAAAAGGTATTTATGTTGAATATTTTATTTCTAATTTTTTCTAACACAAAATTTGTGTTGAAAATAATCATAAACCCTGCACCATTTCAGGTTTTGGCCCAATAAAATAACCATTCACTGCACAATACCAGACAGTTAGACAAACAAAAAGCAGTGCCTGAATTTGGAAGAGTAAAAGAAAGTGCAAGTTTGCAGTTGTTCAACTTTTATGCACTGGATTTTATTGGAGAGATGCAAGGCAAAATCAAAAGGACTTAGAATTTTGTAAAGCATATTTTGTTTATCTTCTACCTTATCTTAGCTTGTTCTTTCACCCATGAAAACAGTGCAACATTTCTGCAATCACACTAGAGTGTTTTTAATTTGTAAGTTTTTCGGGAAGAAAAACAGAAATGTCAAGTATGCACAGCAATACTTGAAACAATCAGCTAGTTATATCTGATTAATTCTCTTTCACAAATAAAAAAAAAACCTAAACCAACACTATTAATATATTTACAATACGTTGAGCTTGTGAAATGGATTATATGCACACACAAAAAAACAAACAACTTATTTAAACTGAAAAAAATAATAATTAATTCCAAAGGAAAAATAAATGTAATATTATTAAGGCAACAAAAATAGCAGTAGCCTAAAAATAAAGACATGACCTTAGGAGACAGAAATATGTAACTTTTATGTAAAGGAAATATTTTATAAGATGTTCTTTATTTTGTAAAATAAACAGAAACAGACAAAAACAGATGAAAAAAAACAAAAAAAACGTACACTCTCGTCCTCGGCTGGGTCCACGGCCCTTGCGTGGAGCTCCACCTCGACGACGTGCAGCATCTTTCTCTCCACCTTTCTCTCTGTTCTCTTTTCCTTCCTCGCCAGTTTCTGCCTGGCTGATTTCCTTCTGCCCCGACACCCCTTTCTTCTTACCCACCATTTCCCAGGAGTCCTGAAAAACAGAAGATATTAAAATTATTCTGCCAACTAGAATATCTGCTTTTGATGCCCACGGCAGATCTTATCTCTGTATTCAAGATCATCTTTACAGCCCTTATATTTAAGCATTATAAACATCTATAACTTTCGATTAAAAATTTTACTCTCAGTAGAAATTAAGACACTTTTTGACAAAATATACCGTTTTAATAACATAATACATAAAACATGACAGGAATATTTAGCCCAATCACTGCTTTCTTAGTCTGGGTAGAACCGATTGCTCCAGGGTGTGCATCTGAAACAACAGCATACTCACAGTGTCTGGGCTGCCCTCCAGCAACACGTTAATAGCTCTGTTGACATCCCCGTTGCAATCATGCAGCGCGATCATAGACTCATCCTGGTCCTTGCCTGTAATGTCGACCAGCTGAAAAGGAAGAAGTGCAACAATGAGCCGCAAAGCTTAACCCAGACATTAATTTCTTCTACCTCAATAATGCAAAAGTCACATTTCTTGTTATCTCACAAGCAGTTCCTTTATAGAGTTATATATAGTTCTATTCATATTACATCTAAATAGAATCATTAGTAAGCTTTATTTCCTTTTTTTTTTTTTTTAACTGACAGATTCTCCTTCAATCATCACACACCACAAGCTGGTGTACAAAAAAAGAACCTAATTTAGTTCCTAGAAGTCACCAATAATGCAACAGTGGCAGATATTTCAGCTCTCAGGTGCTAAACTGGTGCTTGCTTTTCATCAGCATTCACCATTTCCATTGTAAAAAGCCCGGACAGGAAATGCATGTGCAAACGATGTAAACAGGTCAGTAACCAAATGTCTGCATCACAAACTTATTTACATGAGGTTCCCCGTTAATAAACAGCATTTAGAAAGGGTAAAATACAGCTAAACCTTAAAACACACATTTATATAACGTAATGTAGATTTATAACAGTGAAATTCCTTAAACTGTTCTTCATTGTAATTAAGATGTTAATAGGTCACAAAAAAACAAACTGACAGAAAATGAGCTGCCTTCAGGTTCTCTGTGTTGCTGGTTCTGGTGTCTCATCTTCCACCTAACAGCCCATAGATTCTCTATGGGGGTTCAAGTGAGGCTAATTTATTGACCAATCAAACAATAACAGCAGTGTTTGATTGGGTCAGGTCATTGAACCGGGTTTTGGTTCCTCGGCAGCATGAGTTAGTGCCAAGTCCAGCTGGAACATGAACTTCACACTGGATTTAGAGGAACATGGATTCTGTTCCTTTGAACCTTCATTTTTAGATGAAAAGCAACATTTACTTGCACAGAGAAACAGCCCAACTATTTTCTCCTAAGAATCTTTCAGCCCATGTATAAAATGCATTGCATTGAAAGAACTTTTGTTGCTCACCCTCCATATAAATTGTGTCTGTAGACTTCGTCTGGATATCTGTCCTGTCAGCAGTCTTTCCCATTAATGCGTGGTCTACCGTCCATTTAGAGGCTCAGGAAACCTTTGCAGATGTTTTAGTTTTATTATGTTTTGAGACACTGAATTTTTTTTTTTTTTTCATTACCTACAAACCAGAATCATCAAAATGACCAGAAATGAATAGTAAAAATATATTTTTAAATGTTTCACTTTTTGAAATGACAGGAAAAAAATTATTAAACTCTGTCACAATACTATTCTTTCAGATTTTCCCCTTGCACAAATTTTCAATTTAGAACTAAAAAGGACCAGCCAGTTTCAGTTAAAAACAAATTCTGGTTTCGCTCATATTCTACAATGAGAACCAATATGATCAAAATGCAGTGATTTCAATGGACCTTTAATAACAATACTTTGTTCTCTACTTGTTGAAGAAAAGATGTTGGCTGAGAAATTGGCCAATTAGAACACAATCCCTGATTTACATCTTCCATTTATTTGTGTTAATACCTCCTTTCAGTGAGCTAATGTAGGTGTGTGGCTGTTTATGTTTCTCTCATAACATCAGGCTTAACATCTCCAGGGAGTTTTAATACATTTTCCTAGAAATGGGGATATAGTAGACTTTTAATAAAGTCGATGATGCAGCTGGGATACATTCTTGTAATATCCTTTTTGGAGAGCAAAATCTCTGCAGCACATGTAGCCAAGAAGCCTCTCCATGTGGTATGTATGAAATGCAACCAAAAGAAAGGAATACAATTACATACTGCTGCTTTTTGAAACTCCAGTAGTAAATAAAGAAAAGCACAATTCTAAAATGGAAAGTTATAAATATGCAGCCTCCATTCATGTGATCCGTCTCTACAGATTCAGCAAAACAACATGCCATCACAAAAAAAAAAAAAAATGTATGTGGTTCTTCAGCCCTATAGAACCAGTTAATAACCAAAGTTTCCTCCTGCCTTCGTATTGCCCTGGTGTAATAAAACAAACGGAGCTATTTTTGATCTTTAAAGAATGTTTTGGCCTGCGAAATTATTCCACCTTTCAATTTGGGCTTTTTTCTATAGAAAAGATATTTCTACTCAAGGAAAAACAAATAAAAACACAGTAGCTCACTGATTTGCTATTACAAAACATACCAGAGTAGAGAGACGTGCAGACTTGGTTCAGGTGTTTGATTGGAAACTGTAAAGCTATGCAGTAATTGGTAGAGTGTGATTTGAAAACAACTCACCTGTTTAACCTTTTCCTCAAAGTCTGCATCGTTGTGGTCTGAAATCATCTGCGCAAGTCGGATCTGCTCTGCGGTGGCCTGTCCAAAACAGAATCCACAACATTTGCATAAGACAGCTTTGCATTCTCACTGAAATACAGAATTTGATTTTGTATATAGCTACTGAAAAAAAAAAACTTTGTGTATTTGTCAAACAACTACAAGCAGATATGTAGATTTGTCATGTTTCAGTTCTTCTTCACAACTAGTGTCAGTGCTTGTAAATTATTTGACAAAAGCATCTAGAAATGTTAAAGCGCTGATATATATTTTGTTGATATTTGAAAAGAGCTAATAAGTCATGACTCAAAAGGCATATTAGCAGCACAGCAGTTTATTTACGAAAATATTACCTTCATAGGTGACAAGACAACACTGGGGAAAAATTTTGGATAGGCTTTGGTTTACCTTTTTCCTTCTACTCAACTTGGTTTTCTTTACAGTAGCCATTGACAATATCATCACTATTATATACTATATTGTAAAATCATGAAAGTACAACAGTGTTTATGGAATCTGGGCGTGTTTCTCTTTTTGAAGGGAATTTCTAAGATAACATTACTGAATTAGATTTTAATTTGAGACGCATTAATATTACTACGTATTTAAACAAGAGTAAATAACGGTTCTATAGTTTGTGTGTGTAAAAACGCAGAAACTTTGCTGAGCACTGAAAACATTGAGTGTGGTGGGATTGAAGTGGGGGTACCTGAGGCCTCTGCTTGTGCTGTGTCTGGCTCTGTGTCTGGCTCTGTGTCTGCTCCCAGCTGCCCCGGGCTCGGTTCCCGCCCATGGACGTCATCATTTACAGTATATACAAATAACAGTATTTACAAAGGAATAACACCTGAGGAGATAAGGAGCGGAGAAGGGTTTTACAGAAGTAGAACTTCCTGAACTGGTAGCTCATCTGTTAGAGCTGGGGAAGAAAGCATTGATATAAGCAGTGTTCCACTTAACACTTTTCCCCTTTTCTAAAGATAAAAAAAACAAAAAAACACAACAACAAACCTTGACAGTAAGCTGACCTAGAAGAAAAACTTCACGATATATTCAACACAGAAACTGGGATCACAGACCTTCAACAATAAAAGAAAAGAACATTCGTATTACCTCTTACAATGACGGAAACTCTCTAAAGCCCATTTACCTCAGCTGTCTTTAACCACCACTTTTACATGCTGAGATAGAAGACTGAAGTGTTATGAAGATGAAAAGTCCACCTCTTTGTTTAGATCAGTTTTTTAGTGACCAAACAGATTCTTTGAAGTTTGACTTGCTTATTTGGTATTTCATTGATTGAGATTTCTTTTCTAAATGTAAACAACAAAAAAGAAAATATACTGCAGTTGCATTGATGAAAATAGTATTGGAGAATCAAACAGAACTTAAGGAAATAGTAACGTATACCTCTGTAAGCATCAACTCTTATTTCTTTCGAGTTTTTTTTTTTTTTTTTTTAAATCAAACCAGAGGATCAGAACCTATGAGGGGAAAATTTTCCAATTATAGTTACTGAAATAGTTTGAAGGGAAAATATAAAGAATCAAAGCATTAATGTGATGTTGGAGTACATGTATGCAAAAATATGTTTTATTTCATTATTCACAACTTGAGACTACAATAAAACAGTCCAAAACAAATCAAAAGCACTGTTGAGTAATAAAAACATAATAAATGCAAAATCCAAGTTAAATTTTCTCCTTCAAGTATAAAAAAAAAATCATGGTTTAAAGATCTTTTTAAGGCCTTGAGAGTGAGCCATTAGAACTGAAAGACTCTTGGATGGGTGTAAGAATGTTTGTCAGAAAAACTGAAATAAAACTGTCTAGCTACAAACTAGTGTCACCCTACACACCAACCACACACTCTGCCAAATGCACTTCACAAGCAGCGACATATTAAAATGTGCTTCACATGTCAAAATCTTAAAGCTACACTTGAACACCGAACTAAACTCACTAAAAAGCATAAAAGCACTTTTCCCTGCTTTGCAATAAATCAAATATACACATCAAACATCTTCAAAGTATGTAGATAATATTCCAGTTTGATTATTCTCATTTTAAATCAGCTGATTGTGCTTTTACATCTGTGTGCTTTTTTTGTATAAGACATGCCTGAACAATAAGAGAAAGTGAGCGGTCACTTCAGGTGACTCCACATGTGCATCATGCTTATCCACCCCAGGCAGATGGTAAAATATAAATGATACTAAAGATTTAGTCTGTCTTTGGGATGTTTACTTTTTCAATAAAAAAAAAAAAAAAAAAAAAACTTAGAAAGAAGAGTAATGGTTCAGATGACAACTTTTCTAAGATCCACTGCAGACCAAATTTAGCAACTTCGAATCACATCCATTCTTTTCTGTTAAAAGTTTGCCAAATTAACACAAGCATATTACCACAACCACATTAACACTTTCAGAAAGTCATGAAAAACAGGTATGTAAAGCAGCTGACTGCAGGCTAGATACACAGGCAAATAATTGTATTTTTCAACATGCAAGTAATAACTTCATTGTACTTCACTCACAATACAAGTTTAACTTGTAGACATATATTTTATGCAACAATGCACCACTAAAATGATTAATAAGGTTACTTTATTAGGCGTTTCTTTTATACTGTATAAGATTGCATTAAAATTAAAGCGAGCAAAAAACACGGTTACCCTGTAAATTATCACGGTATATTTTTTACTTACAGCACTATGAATAGTAGTGTTGCGATACTATACCCTATACCTGGCTGTGCAGTATCGGCCGATACCATCTGTGTGAAATTGATGTCTGTGTGCATATATGAAGAACTGCATACTACTTGGATGTAAAATAATTGCCATCATGGCTTTGTCAAGCTGCTGCCTGCCTTTGTGAAGCAGGAAAAAGACTAATACAAAGTGATTCCAGTAGAACTTTTTATTGCCCCCCTGGAATGGGTGACAATAGTTGAATATAGTTTTGGCTCTCAAAATTGTCGGTACTGGCCGATACAGATACCACCATTTCAGTGCTGGATCAGGGCCCCACCCTATACTGGTATCTGTATCGATACAACACTAATGAATAGCTCCTCCTTCTCTGGATTAAATACATTTTAGTAGATTAACAGTTTGCAAAACATGATGCAAAAGCCACCACTCTTTTTTTTAGATGTATTTAGTGGCATTCTCACTTTATCTTTGGCTAATAAATTCTTAATGAGGACTAGTAGCTAAAACTCTGGGGAATAGCAGCTAATATCAATCAAATATTGGGGCCTACTTATTTGATTGATATGGTGCCTAGTTTTGATTTTCCTATAAATTAAAAACTGGCATATCCAACATGACAGTCTCAAGTTCAGAAACCCTGATGGATTTAAAAACTGAAATTTTTTTATTTTTATTTTAGAAATTTCAGCTTGACAGAGCTATAAATTCCTGGTATAGTACTGTTGTAAAACATCTGTCACTATGGCGATACTTGAAAAAGGTACTGGGGGATAACCTTGGATAATTTTCATAAAATGTTATTTTCTCTAAACATGTTTATATGACATTATTTATATATTGTCTGACCTCTAAAGTGCATTTCTACAAAATATGGAGAAAAACAGCAGTCGTAGGAAATATTTTTTATGATTTTCAAGTAATAGTTATTTATTGGTTTAATTTGCAGTACATTTGTGTTCGTTTCTGTTATATAAACAAGAACAACATAAATTCCAATCTAGAAGTAAGACTTCAAGCAAACCAGAAATTGGTACCGGCTAACAAAAACTTGGTAGGTGCATTTCCAACATTTTGTCCAAAATGTTTTGTCCAAGGCTTAATCTAAAGCTTGAAACCCAGTAGGTAGTCTGCACAATCATTGATGTGGAGAACTGGGACAGAAACCAGTAACTAAAGTGATTATTTCCAATTCTAGGTCTAAGAATTTAAGGAAAATAAACCAAGCTCCAGTATGGAGGCATTCCATTGGTGGCAATATACCAAATCAAACAGTTTTCTCCCAGATTTTACTCACAGGAAGGTGATGGAATCACAATAATAATATAACCCTTATTGATATAACTCTAAAAGTCATTCAAGTACGAATTTAGGCTAGATTAATTATGCAATTAAAAGCCAGATGATGCAAACAAATCCATACATCTTGATAATAACGAAATGGTTATCCAATCTATGTTAAGTGACGACTTAATCTTGTTCACGTTACGTAAAAGCCTTGTTTTGACAAGCCCACAAGCAAACCCCGCAACCATGGCCTGTCGCACATATAGTTAAATTATATTTTACTTAGATAAGCCTGCCACATGGTCAAACTGCTAGCCCAGCAGCTAATCCTTAAGAGAAAACATCCAACTGTGAAGTCTCGGTGGGCTTCCGCTTCTCATGGCTTTCACCTCATGGCGACAACGAGGCTAACTTCAGCAGCTAACGAGCTAGGAGAGATCCCAGACCCTGCCTCTGCAAAGTACACTTAGCCAGTTAGCTTAGCCTAACGGCAAAACCAACAGGTTAAATTAGCTCCTCGTTTGCTTAAAGAAGTGTGAGGATTTCACAGCCGGAGAAAGAAACAAAGCAGACACGCAAAATAAAAAACGCCCTGCTGCCATAAGAGTAGTGCTAATAACTTAAAGCTAGGCTAAGTAACGTCGTTCGTTTCGGCTGTCTGTGGAACTTAAGCTAGGTTAGCTAGTTAGCGGTAGTGCACTGCGACATTTAAAGTCTGGTGAATCCTCAAACACTGGTTGTCCGTTAGGAAAACCCCCGAGACTGAAAACAGGCCTACAGGCCGCTAAGATGAAAATAAATAACAGACAATACTGAGCAGAAGAATATTATACACAGCTACAGCCGACAATACACCTTGTAGTCAAACTACTGTTCGGCTTCAGGACAGTGTGTGATTTTTTTTTAAACTTTGGTTGAACAAATTAAATTAAATATAGAAAAAACGGAGCCAACTAGCTCTCAGACAATAAACGAGAGGCTGAATTTACCTGTTTCTTTTCCACTCTGACACCACGGAGAACTGCGTCACGTGGTTTTTCACAGAGCCGCTTCGAGGAAACCGGAGCCGCACCACGTGACCACACTTTGATATGTTTAGTTTGGTATCATCAACCAAGTTGTGACACGCTGGAGATGTTGATCATCATGTTGATGCACAGAGAGGGACGCGATATGGTGGAAGATGCAGCTGACATGTGTTCTCACTGATGAAATCAGTTACAGCTCCACTAGCATATAAACAAACTATTTAAAAAAAACAACAACACTCATATTCATTAGAGATTACTTGGCTCGGGATCCACGTTGCATTGTGCAGCATGTTAAAAAGAAAACCTCCCCAAAAGATATGTTTTCTTATTCTTATGGAGAAATTAAAGTTTTTTTAAGAGTACCAATATGGAAAACTACACAACAGTGTTGAATTTAAAGGTCTTTTAAAAGTGTTAAAAATAAAATTTCTTAAATATGGGGTTCCCCATTTCCAAGCATGTAAAAAAAGAAAACAGATTACAGAAAAAATGAGGTGTACTTTATTTGCTAAATACAATTTCTTAAAATGCATAAATATGGATTTAAAAGATTAAGAGATTAATCAATTAAAGGAAAGGTTATATACAAAACATAATAATATAGTTAATATGGAAACATTGTAAAAATAATTGCTGCACAATGTGTAGCCCTGTTTTATATTTGTTTTGATCTTCAAAGCACCGATAGCTGGAAGACAGGGGCTGCTTTTGCAGCAACTTTTTGTGTAGCCTGGGAAATAACTCCCTTTCTGCAGGGATTTGGTAGTACACCTTTTTAATCATTAGACATTTAAAGTCCAAACGTTGGTTTATTTTTCTGTCAACACTGAGATTTAACTAATAAAAAGTGCAGACTTTATCGAGTTGACTTTTTGACCATAAAATATATAGGAAAACTGGTAACAAAAACAATGCTGCTGTCTTTAGTTTGAGGTTCTTTATATTTATTTTTGCAACAAGTTACAGTGCCCAGTGATGACAAAGAAATAATTGCATACTTACAAACTTTGAGTATTTTTCTATGTGTATTTTTTTATTGCTTAGTAACAGACTTTGTATAAAGAAACCTGATAACGACGAGGATGAAAAAAAAGTACTACCGGTATATTAATAATAATAGAATTAAAAAATCCCTTTATTCTCCCACAATCGTGAAATTCTGTTGTTTACAGCAGCAAAAAGATTACAGAAAAAAATGGTCGCAAAAATCTGGACCGATGAAAAGTGTATAAGAATAACATAACAGTGAAGACTTAAGAAATAAACTTAAGAAATAAACATATAATATACTCTACTGTACAACAACACGGTTCCAATTGCAATATATATTTAATGCCAGTGAGTAAAACATACCATTACCTATAATGCAGTATGAGCTTTATAAATTGTAACAATAAGTTACACTACAAACGCAAGAATAAAACTTATATATAGTAATGCTAATAACATATAACATAATATATATATATAATGTATGATCTATATAAATAGATATACTCCACAGATGTGACAGATTCTATTAATATATTTATGTTAACATAGTAATAATGCTATAGGATAAACACTATATGCAACTGTTAAAGCGTTTTATGTGTACATTAGAAAAAATTAATATCTGCAGTTGTTTTTTGATTAACTCTTTTGAGTACACAGTTAAGATGGGCTAAATAGTAGATATTAAATCTTGAATTCATAAACACATGAAATGTGATTTGTATGAAGAATTTGTTTGAACTCTGTCTGTAGATTAATCAAATCTTATTATTTTGGTACACTTTACACTCCCACCACTTGAGGGCAGCACTGCGCCACCCTGCTGTTACACAGTTGCTATTTCCTGACAGTGTAACGCAAACGCATTAGGCTAGATGGCAGTAATGCAGGTGCCATAAAAGAAGAAGAAGAAGAGGAAAAAGAACATATTAGGCTATCTTAAGCTAAACCTGCCAAGAACGAACACTATGAAAAGGGCTGGAAGCATTATTTTTGTATGATAGTTTTTAGAAAGAAATCAACAATGCGCTAAGATGTAAAATCCAATGTATGTTGCGATGCTTGTTTTAATTATTTTAAATCAACCTGCTCTGAGTTAGCTACCCGAGCTAATGAAGTCATAACCGTTGAATTGAAGTTTATCTACAGAATGGCGGCTTCATCATCGCCTCTGTCCGGGGTCAATGTAGTTTTGGTCATGGCTTATGGCAGCTTGGTGAGTTTTTTCCCCCTCAATCATTTCAAGACATGTAATAAGCAGCTGGGTAATGTTTTACTATAAACCCCTGTATGGTCTTGGTTACAGGTGTTTGTGCTGCTGTTTATCTTCGTCAAAAGGCAGATCGTGCGTTTTGCAATGAGATCCCGCCGTGGACCCCACGTACCTATTGGCCACAATGCACCGAAGGTATGGGGATCATTCATCCTCTAGGATCTGGTATCTTCTAGCCTAATCAGTTGCTTATTTGGTTGTATTTCACATATAACGTGTTATTACTATTTAATACGATGTGCAATTACCTGTTTATATTTGACACCCAGTGCAATAGCTATATATATATAAATAACCATCTTTGTAAACATCCTGTGCAACAACCTTGTATAATAATCCTGCTATTAAAAAAGCTCTTATATGTGGACACACTGTGTATATACTGTATATATCCCATGCACCTTTTCTTCGTTTGGTACATTCTTTTTCTCTTTTTGACTATTTGAGCCGATGTAACCAGTAACTTTCTCCACTGTGACATCAATAAAGTCAATCAATCAATCAATATGGATCAATTGACAGGGTTTGAGGGAAAACATCGACTCGAAGCTCTCCAAGGTCCAGGAGATACGATTCGAACCTCGGCTCTTATCACAAGAGGATGAGAGACTCAGGCGGGGATCACAGATGAGTCAGTCACATTTTCTTTGTCCTTTTTTTTTTTAACATTCTCAAGCTTATATAATTTAATAACATTATTTTTCTAATTTAACGAACCACCTATCTATCTAACTCCAAGGTTGCTACAACTATCTATACCGAATGAAAGCCCTGGATGCCATCCGTGACTCAGGTTAGTTTTAACATTTAGATTGAAATCATCGTTTTAACTTTAGCCAGTGTCAGAAATCCAATACATAATGTTTTGAAAATTTTAAAAATATATATATATTTTTACTGGAAATATGTAAAAGAAAAATCTTAAATGGCATATTTTTTCATATTTGGGAAATGAATCATCAGCCATTAATAACCCATTCTAGATTTTCTTCTAAACATGTTGAATCTTGCTCTACATCATCTGTCATCAACTCACTAAACCCTAAATTTAGAGATGGTCTTTGTATTTTACAACTTAGCAAATGTCTATTAGTATACTTATGTTGGGAGGTCTGTCTCTCGCAGCTGTATAGATTGTAAAAGTGTGAACATCTCAAGCTACAGCATCCATACTGATCAACAGCTGCACACAGACTCTGGAGTGGCGGGCTAGAGCTTGGGATCCTGAGGTTCTGAGTTTGAGCCCCACTCCTACAGACTACCACTCTGGGCCTCTGAGCAAGACCCTTAACCCCTGCTTGGTCCCCGGGTGCCCCACGATGGCAGCCCACTGTCCCCCAATGTGAGATCAATAAAGTTCTATTATTTATTTTACAATAATCAGTGGGGTATCGGTACCCACCTGCTATGACTCATCCACATTGTTGGCTTTAGTTGTCTATTTAGGGACTGTCTGTGAGGTAGAGCATACCTGAATATACATGAAATAGTCTTTATCGCTACCAAGGATGAAAGGAATTGCTGTTTGAATGACGTCACTTTGGCTTAGAGCAAAAAAAAAAGAAAAAAAGTCTGAGAACCCAAAAAATTAATTAATATTTCAGACAATTTCAGACTGACAATTTGACAAACAACAATAAATGAATCAACCAAATACACACAAAAAGACAGGGCTACCATCAACCAAACCAAACACCAATTTCCTAACTAACTAAACTCACCTGAACATAAACAGAACCAAAACCCTTCACCAAATAAACCTGTCGGTATATACAGCCAGAGAAGTGACATCGATAGTCTTCCAGAAAATAAAACCCTTATTTATTATCACTATTTATCAGTAGTGTTGTCTCATGTAAAAAAAAAAAAAAAAAGAATCCAATCTTTAATTTAAATGCCTTTATTCCGTAGAGAGGAAATAAAATCTGTACTAAGAATATTTTTGTTTTCAAGAAAATCACCCCTGAAAAGTTTTAGGTAATTCTGCTGTTAGCGTTTGTACAACCCTATTTCTATTAATAAGGCAGCAATTCTTTAATATGCTAGTGTAATCTTGCTAAAAGCCAGATTTTGCATTATCTGATGTATGTATTTATAGAACAATAAAGTTCCTTTTGAAAACAAACAGATCTTCCACTGTTTGTAACAAAGAGCATAAGGTTGCTCTTCCCCTGATGGAATAAATGTTTTTACTGAATATAGAAACAAAATATTTAAGTTTGAGCTTTAGAGACAGAACATTACAATGTTACTGTAAATTAAAATCAATGCCCACAGTACTGAAAATGGTGTCGAATATTACATGTTTTCCTGGGTATGGATTTAGAGCATGGCGGCGACCCTAGAGGCAATTATTTATTCAAATACCAGTAGATGACATTTCTGATTTAGAGTCAAACTAAGTAAAGTTTAAAACCTGCTCTCTGATATTAGATGAAAATACACAAGTATATGAAAAAGAGCTGCAACTAACAATTATTTTGCAAATCGGTTCATCTTTTGATAATTTTTTCGATTAATCGATTAATAATCGGATAGCCAAAGCTTCCTTGAGGAAGACTTTGTACGAAATTAAACCAGGTGAAACTAAAACTTTTCCTCATGAGGAGTTCTGAATAGAGCATATTGACAGACCAACCTTTTTTTTTTATTTTTATTGTAAATGCAAAATGTTTATATAATCTTTTACAATTTTGGTGTCATTTCTGCTTTAGTTTGGTTGCTCTGGCATCTAAAAGCATGTTTTAGAGTCTTTATACTTCAGTTTATGATTTATCGATTACTAAAAAAATTGACCATAATTTCAATAGTCGATTAATCATGATTAACCCGATTAAATGTTTCCGCTTTAATATGATTAAAATATTTTAGTTTCTTACATTTGCTCTAACCCTTTGTTTGTTCCTGCTCAGGAATTCCCATGCAGGAGATAAGCGGCACTCCCAGTGCATTCACTGGGCGCAGCTTCAGGAACTGGCTGGTGGAGCTGCGCAATTCCCACTCGCTGATTAAGAGCAGCCGGAGCGCGCTCATCGACCGCCTACTAGAAGGATACGACAGCGCCCGCCATGGAACTGGGGTCAGTGAAGGCGTTCTTTTAACCCCTGTGGCTTTTAACGGAGATGGCCTCACTGACTTCTCTCTGTGTGTTTCAGGCGTTTGGTGAGGCAGAGTTTCTGGAATACCAACAAGCTCTTGAGGAACTGGTGGATGTGTAAGTGCTGCCAAACAGCCCTAGATGTAAAAATTATTATGTTTTGGATAACGTTGTGTAAAGTTGTGGAGAAACTGATAGATGCATTTCTTGCAAGTAAAAGGTTCAAATTTATTGTACCTCCTTAGAGAGATAGAGCTCTGACTAGGCAAAGCCCAGCACAAACATTTATACTGTACAAATCCCAACACACTCTCCCTTGGGATCATCCCACCCCTGCATAAAGAACTTCCTCACACACGAACATTTGGAGCAAAACAACTTCAGTTCATCAAGGAGATACATTTTTAATTCGCCAGATAGACACTCAGAACTGGTGTCTTCTGTTCACGGCATGAAGGAGAATGAAGGAAACTTTAAACACTTATCTTTTATCACTCCTAGCCTTCCTTTAACCCCAATTAGGCAGAGGAAAAACATGCTTCTACAGTTGACAGGGATCTGAACAGCTTCTCAGAACAATTCACAACTAATAAAACATGGATCTAGTCTTTTATTTCCAAATATCCTTTCTCAGTTACATTTTAAAACTGGTCTACCTGTGTATTTACCCTGTTTACTTACTGGGTTCATGCAATTTCTGTAGACGTATTATTTATACCCAACATATTTTAAGTAAATTAAATGTTTTTAAAAGCAAATGAATTACACAAACTAGCAACTTCAGTGATTTTTAATGAAGAGACAGCTTGAGTATGTTTTTAAAATTTCTTGAATTCATGCAAACTCTCTCTGGCTTCATTCTGGCTCTGATTAAAGTAATTTCTGGATTCATCAAATTTTTCACTTTCCATACCAAGGTGGCTTATAGATTTTGAATAAGTCTGGATCATTCAAGAAGCTAATCATAAACTTGCTTTAATCATTTATAGCTATCCATATTTAAGACACAATTCCAGTTAAGTTGACTTATTTTGTACTTACTGAAAATGTTTCTTCAGGACAATTTTTCAAGACAAAAAAAAACCCATAATCCAGACATTTCAATTATAAGGAAAGATGAATTCAATTAAAAGCACACAAGTTTGATAAAATTTCTAAGATTTATGTTTCCCATTGGTAAAATGTTTTCCAAGTAAGATTGGTTTTGTTGGGTCAATAACTCGGCAGAAATCCCTCACACCGAGCAAGCCTGTGGCAGCAGATGTAAGGAAAGACTTCCAACAGAAAATCACAAACACAGACAGATTGCTTTTAATTTTCAAAAAGGAAAGAGTTAATAGAAACAATAGCTTTTTTGTCTTTATAGGAGAAAAACAAAACAATGGAACATTTCTGAGCCAAACCTGAGAACACTACCTCACATTTTAAAGAGGCATTATGCTATGGGACAGTTTTACTGCCATCATTACGCAAGTATTACATAGTGTATGGAAGAGACAAAATGTGTCATTTTGTATGCACAGAGTGTACAGCTTACAACAGTGTGATGATATTGCATTTGGAGTAAGATAAACATTACCAATATAAAGAGCAACAGTGATCAGAATGTGAAAAATGTAAGAGAAAAAGGACAGTTTAAAAAAAATGGTGCAAAATGGCATTATTATAAAAAGTTGAGTGCAGTGCAAAATAAAAATGTTGCAAATTGCAGTAGAACGTTAAGTTGTGTCCTATTTAAAAGGATTATAAAAGTTTTAGCAACGTTGGTGGTGCAAAATAATGCTGCAAGTGTGATGCAGAGTCCAGTTTAGAGTTCAGCTGTTCAACAGTCCGACTACCTCCAAATCTTTCAATTTTCCAAGGATCTGCAGCTCAATGTTTAAACTGGAGCATAAGTTGGTGTTTGAGCAGAAAAATGATAATAAAATATGGATCTGAACTAGATTTAGAATTAATTGAGCATGAAAACAAGCTTTAAACCGAGGTATTTTTCTGGAACTTTCCAAGGAATATTTAATTACTATTAAAGGGTTGCATGTATATATCTGAACCTATATTTATAGTTTTCATTAAGGACAACCTGAACCCATTTTCCTAAAAAAAAAAAAAAAATACATTTACTATAAAAACAGTTAAGATAAATCATTAAAAGGCTAATAGGACAGTCCTGAAAATGAAGTGTAAACATCTGATCAGATCTGCAGTTTAACAGGGATGTTCATCATGTCAGTGTGATCCCTTCTTTCCTCTCCTCCAGTGTGAAGGCCTACTCCAGCAGCACCAGCCTGGACCAGCAGCACCAGTGTGCAGCTAAAGATCTAACGGGCTCCCCAGTCCGCGGCACTCCTTCCACCATCCAGGTCACCTACCTGCCTTCCACGGGTCAGCGTAGCAAGAGGCCCAAACATTTCCTGGAGCTCAAAAGCTTCAAAGACAACTACAACACACTGGAGAGCACTCTGTGAATCACTGAGCGATGGAAGATCTGTGACAGACTGTGACGGGGTTTTTAGGTAGCTCTTAGAAATTGTAAACAAAGTCTGGGAGTTAATCAGACTCTGCCTTTATGTGTATGTACTTTAGAAGTGGTTTTCAGCCGTACTTTGGACCTAATGAATGATCTTTAGAGAAAAATTATGCCCACAAAAGTTTTTTTAATAAGTTATTTTATTTAATGTCTCCCAAATTTTTATTGTAAATACACTTTTTTTTTTATTAATGTATTTGTAAAATATTTAATTTGTAACTTATTGATGCTTTTGAGTTGTATTTGTACATAATTAAGGTGAAGAAAAGAAAACATTCAATTCTGAGCTGGTCTTCTGTTCTTTATGTAACCACTAGGGGGCAGTATAACACACCAACCTTTAAGAAAGAACTCAAACAACTTTTATTGTCTATCAACGAAACAAAATTTTGTTTTGTACAGCTCCCATGACATTGCTGTTTCTTAAAGTCCAGCAGTGATCAATTGTAAACATTGTGGGAGAAAAAACATGGTACAAAAAATACATTCATATGGAATGTCAGAGCATTAAATATATATGGTGCGATTATGCAGTGTTTTGGTTTGAGTCAGTTTGATGCAGAGTCTGTGATTTAGAGTTTTTTCAACAGTTCAGCTAAAAAGAAAAAAAGCTTTAACACCACATTCAGAGTTAATTCAGCATCTTTTATTTAAGTTTAAATAAGAGTGGAGGAAAATCTACAACACAATGTTACACTCTGGAGGAATCTATCTACAGTGTTTACAAAAAACAACAAAGTATTATTATAAAGATGCTGGATGATCCAAACAATACAAAATATGTTAAATAAGCATTATTAAATAATCATTTATGCAGAAGATAATCCTGGACACAAAGCATGTTGAATCACTTCTGCAGACTGGAAATTAAAACGGTGTTGATAACGACTGGAATATAAATCCAACATACATTAGAATTTATATAACAATGCTTTTGTTTTCCTCACCTATAAAGCCACTTAAAAATATTCTGACAGTAACAAAGTCTTAGTCTGTGATTCTTCAGGAAAATGTGTCATTTAGAAAATGAAAAGGTGCTAAAACCCTCAGTAATATATTGTTTAATTTAACCCAGATTAGTTTACTAAAAGCTTAGCTGCTTATTCTGCACTTAAATGGCATGAAGGATTAAAAGTCTTGCCACTGAATCCTGCAGGCAGAAATACAAACTGTACAGACTCGTGCCTGCGTGTAACATCTAAGAAATCGGATCATTTAATTGTTTTTGAGGAGTTCTTCCTGTTACTCCACTTCTTTTTTTTTTTCTTTTTTTTCTTTACATGCAACCAAAATCCTGAGTGTAACAGCCACAAAGGTAACAATAAGGTGATAGCTTAAAAGTGGGGTCTGTTAAACAGGAGTTTCCTATCAATACAGATCTACAACTTATAAATATTTATATATATTATTAGAGGAAAAGTAAAAACATATTTACATGTCTGTTTTAGATCATTTCTTGCAACGTTGCTCAAGATTTGATCTCGATGACTTTAATTAAAGGCAGGACCTTGTTGGTCGGGGATGTTGGAATCAAAGGTTTGCTGCAAGAAATTGACCAGAGTTACGAAGCTGATCGGATAAGCTTGAAACAGAGGCAGGAAATCTGGAGCCACTTCCTCACCTGTAAACAATTTCCGGCTTGTTTTCAGTGGAGATTTCAGGAGGGTCCTCTCCTGTCAGGAGATGCTCCAAGTGGTCGTGCATTTCCTTGTTCTACAGGTAGAAAATAAGAAAATAAAAGCATTAACTTGTATTTTGTGCAATGTGGCAAATACAGATAGATTCGCTTTTCTTACAGACCTATACAAGAAATACTTATTTAATAGAATTTTAATGTACTACTCATAAAAAGATTTGAAAGATTTTTATAAACAGGAAAAAAAAACAATTAAAAAGTATGTATCCTCATAAATTAAGTTGCCATTTATTTTTAATGATTGTATTATTTGACAAAAAGCATACATGGCGGCCAGACTCTGTTGATGTAAAAAGGTATACAGGGCCTATGCAATTCAGTCGTTCCTTTACCTTTTTCATGATTTGCAATTTAAAGCCACAGCGTTAGTATGAATACCATAAAGATTTTATGCTTTTTGTTCAGGGGAAGAACAGTTACGATTGAATTTAAAAAGTTTGATAAAATGTATTTTTTTTTTTTTATGGCTCGTGCATTAATTAATACTTTGTATAACTTCCTTTCTCACATGTTAGAGCTCACATGTTAGAACTCCACAGTTTATGTGATAAGACAGCCATGTAGCATAGCTCCACCCAGCTTCCAATTAATTGTGATGCATTTTCTGAATTGTTCCCAACACATATGGGAGCCATCACCATGTTTCACCATAGAGTTTGGTTTTATGGTTATTTGCGGTGTCCCAGGAGTCTTAAAATTTGCACGTAGGTTAAAAATGATTTAGGACTCATGTGACCTGAGCACCTAAATTGTTCTGTGTGTTTCCTGCTTGGCCTGTGATTTTCTGTTGCTCTCTTTTTGTCACTTTAACATCAAGATCAGATTTTTATTGGAAAACACAGCTGCAAATTATTCCAAACTGCAGCTCCTCTATGCTGGATTTTTGACCAATGCTTCCTGTTTCCAGCATTTTAACCACAGTGAGCATCCATATCTTGAAGGTACCATTCTTTCATATTTTTAAATGATGATTTGGACAGACCTCTGAAATGTTCAAACCCTTAGATATTTAAGACGCTAATCTCTCCACATATCAAATTCTTAGGTAAATATTAAATTGTTAACAAATGAGCTATATTTACTGAGTATTTTTTTTATTTTATTTGGGGGGACTGCAAATGCAACCTGTAGGAGCCAATTATTTGTTAATAATTAACAAAGTTTTTTTTTTTTTTGTTGATAACCTAGTAAAATTTATTTATTTTACTGTATTGCTTGATATTAGTTTTTGGATTATGTTTTTTGGTTTTTTAGTTATGTTTCTTTGTTTCTAGTTAGGTATGAGCAATTTGGGTAAATTAGGTTAATTAATAGGCTGTCAATGGTAGGACCAGCATGCATCTGGGTGGGTGTATGTTTTTTTTTTTTTATCAGTGCAAGAGAAGCAAGGAGGAAATGTTTGTCCTTTTCTTGCTTAATGAGAAATAAATCACAAAACTAAAAGAATATACCTGGAAAATAGGCCACAACACAACTCATCACATACAATTACAGCTAAATACATTGAGTTTTGTTGTTATAAAGCTATTTGAAAGGTAAATTATTAGTTTTTAGAAGGCCTTGTATAAAAAGAGGCTTCAGGGTTGCCGTGATGGCTACTTTTTTGACCATAAGGTTGCTGACCTCAGCTTCTAGGAAAGCGACCTTCTCCTCCAGATCCATGATGACCCGGTCCCTCTCTTGGATTATCGTCCTCGCATGCTGCAGCTGTGATATCAGCCAAAATAAACAAAGACAAAAATGTTCAGAAAAAAAAGAAAAATTCCCACACTGCAGAAACAATCTAAAAAAAAAAAAAAACAATCTCTACCCTTAATTTGATTAAGTAAATAAGATGATTTGCCAATGGAATGAGTTTTTTTAATCTAATAAAAGAAGATAGATAATATGCACTTGAAAAAAGACAATGAAATAGTTTTTTTCTTAGTTTAGATGTAAATTGTGTTGTTCTGTTTGCAAAGTGTCTCAATCTCCTTCTAAATGCAAGAAAAAATGACTTTAGATTTATTTTTTTTTTGCAGTGCAACATGATATCGCTTCATTACAGTGACACCACACAACAACTTCCTGTTTCCTTAATACTGCTTTCTGCCATGTGCTTTTTTTATTTGCATATAAACTTGTTGAATACCTGTTCGATCATGTGACGGAGCTTCCTCTGCTGACTCTTCAGCATGTCATCAAGGTGGTGAATCTTTTCCTTTAGCACAGCCACCTCATGGTTGAGCTCTGTGCACCTAAATAGACATAAAAACAGAACCATCTACAGGTTTGATCTAAATAATAACTGCCTGATTATATTGAAGACGTTACCATGACAATAAAATATTATGTCAAAGAAGAGTAATTTACCTTTGTTCCTTCTCTGCTCCTCCCTCTCGGTTCTTTTTTAGCTGAAGCAGCTCTGCCTCCCCTGCCTCCATCTTGTCTTTAAGGAGGTTGCTCTCCATCCTCATTCCCTCCAGCAGCCTCTGCAGCTCTTCTACCTGTTGGGCTTTTTCCTCTGACTGCAGCTCCACCGCCTGCAGACGCACAGACTGCTCAGCCAGGCGGATGCGGCACTCGTTCGACTCGGCCTAAAAGAGAAGAGATGGAAAACGTTTTGTGAAAAAAAGCATCTAGAGATAACATTTTTGCTTGCACTGACACATCGAAATTTGATTGTCCTTTAGTTGAAGCTGCACGGATGAATGAAGCCTTTATTTTTTCAGTGTATAAATATAAATAACAGGGTTGATTCATAGAATGTAAAGTTTTTTTGTTAGTTACTTCTTGTTCTACCGTGGAAATTTGAAGACAATACAAATTTTTGATAAAGTCTACACCTAAGGATCTAAACTTGGTTTTATTAATCTTTCAATAAATTAGATCAATACAACTTTCCAAATTTTAAACCTGCATTTGTTCACTATGTCGCTTTTTAAAAAAATGTCTTTAAATCTTCCATAAGACTTATAAGCTGTTGAGAATGAAAGGAAAGGTGTACAAGTCAGTGGGGAGAGCAGAGGTAGAAGGTTCTCTTTGGAAATAAAACAGATGGACAGGATCAAGTATGAGGACATCAGAGGGACAGCTCATGGTAGATGTTTTGGACATACTGTAAAGCCAAAGAGATGGTTTGGACAGGTAAAGAGATACAATGTTGAGGCTGCAACTTTAAGGCAGGAGGCTTAGAGGAAGACGAAAGAGAAGATTTATGGGTTTAGTTATAGGCAGTGGTGGTTCTAGAACAAGTGGGTCAACCTATTCTCATTATGAGTGCGTGTGAAATCGTACGAAAAGTTATGCACCATAATTTCGTACGTTTTGGACGTTTTGTTCGTCGTATGTGCATTCACAAATCTAGAATATAAATTACAATTAGCCCTAACCCTGACCCTAACCCTAAGATATAAAACAGCAAGCAACGTAGTTAGAGACATGAATAAATGATGATTGCACTGTTTTTCCCATTTTTACGTCCGTCCGCGGATCAGCTTTTTTTTTTTTCTGTCTGCCAGCGCATGCGCACTGATGTGTTTTTTTTGAGGAACAACGTCCAAAAACGTACGAAATAGTGTGCATAATGAGAATATGTTGAGTGGATAGAC